TCATCCAACTCTGTAGCTGACCATTGTAAGCCAAACTTGTAATTCCTTGTGCATTTGTTTATCTTGTATTATATCTGTTCCTCTAGTAAACCCTGACTGAGACAGCAGGATAACCTTCAGATCCTATACATTGTTTCAACTGATGCAATTACAAAAACAAAAAGGGGATCTGTTGAGTACCATTCTATGTAATTGTTGGGGGAAAATAACTTCCTAATTTAATTGTGATTAGGGCTTGTCTGAGGCCTAGTGCCTTGCCATGTGGGCTAACTATGGTATGCCAGATCATAATTCCATGTTCCTCTGGTCACAGTTGAGTCCTCAACAGTGTGATGCTGTGATGCCCCAGGACAAGATTGCATGAGATGAAAATATGCAGGTTCCTTGAGAACCCAGTAGTGGGGCTGGGGATTTAGCTCAGGGGCTGGGGATTTAGCTCAGTGGCAAAAAGCGCCTGCCTGGCAAGCGCAAGGTCGTGAGTTCAGTTCCCAGTACCGGAGAAAAACCAAAAAAAAAAAAAAAAAAAGAACCCAGTAGTAATAAAAATAGTTTCACCTTGGGGAAAGGACAAACTCTTTCTTAACTGGCATCTCTCCCAACTGTCCTCATAAACATAAATATCCTCATCAGCATAAGCTCACCACTGCCCTCTAAATCATCCCAAATAATCCTCATCAGCATAAGACCTTCTCAACATAAGATCACTGCTACCCTCTAAGTCATCCAATAATTCCTCTTATTTTTTTTTTTGTTTGTTTTTGTTTTTTTTTCCAGTACCAGGAATTGAACTCATGACTTTGCGCTTGCCAGGCAGGCATTGTGCTGCTCAGCTAAATCCCTAACCCCCCTCTTATTCTTGTGTACACCCAGTAAATGGTGGCTAGAGCTCAGATTGTCTTTGTCTTTGCCCATTGTGAGGCACCGACCTCCCAGGCCCCCTGTCATGCATTACTAAATTTGTCTGTTTTTTTTATTTCAACCTTTCACCATACTCCTCATACACACAGTTGGAGATCTTGGCTAGGTCCCTGACAGAGAAGTCTATTGTATTTAATAAAAAATAAAAATTTTAACAAATTCTTAGAATAGAAAAGGTCTCAGGTGTAGCTCAGAGGGAGGGCACTTGTTTAATATGTATGTGCAAGGCCCTGGGTTGCTCCCCAGCACTGTAAAAAGAAAACAGACAGTTGAAATATAAATGTAAAGTAAGATTTTACATGATGTCTGACATTTTAAAAATGAGATGTTGGCACACCTAGTATTAAGGCAGGTAAGTGATTTTTTTCTTACAGGAAATCTCAAAAGAAGGTGGTAAGAATAAGAGGGGAAATAGATACCTTGGGAATTTAAATTAGAAACAGCCTTAGTAAACAAGAAGGCTTACCCTTACATAACCACCTCCTCTGGTGAGATTCATCTTTCCTACCTTTCTTTCTCCTGTTGAGGTCAGGGATCCAAACTTGGTCATAGTCCTTTGATTAACAATCCCAGCTGGTACCAAGAAAGGGATGCCCCAACAAAATGGTCTAGAAGAGGAACCCTGGAGGTCATTTTCTCTGCCATTTCTTAGGCGCACAAACCACCTATAGAAAAGGATAGTATTACACAGCAGTTTCAGGCTATTTAACCAAGTAGGAGAAGGAGGGTCTGTGTCCTCTTCAGCTCTTGTATTCTATGGTATGCTAGCCTGTTGGGGAAGGACTGTGATTGCTAATGAACTAATTGCTGATGGTCCGCTTATGATCCCAGCCATGCTGAGTGCACATGGTGCGGGGTGTGGAAGGCTAGCCCGAGGATGGTTACCATCAGCTGAGAGGCAGAAATGGAAAGGGATAATGAATTACTCCTGTTGGTTTGAGTTACCTTCTGGGTTCTAATAAAAGGCAATTAAGGGCTGGGGATATAGTTCAGTAGCATAAGCTCCTGCCTGGCAAGTGCAACATCGTGAGTTCAATCCCCATTCCTGCCAAAAAAAAAAAAAAAAATTAAAAGACGATTGAGATGGGTGATCGGGGCTGCTGCAGTCGCAGACACTGTGGGCCCCCTGATCCCAGACTTTTGCCTCTTCTGTTTTTCTTATCATTTACCTTTTCTTATTCATCTGTGGGCACCTCGTTCTCGGGACCTGTCACTACAGATAATAACAACACTAGCCGGCCTCAAGGATCCATTTTAGAACCTTGTTCTTCAGAAACTCCCTACCAGGAAAGATGGGGAAAAAACCTTTCTCTACCATCTAATGCTGCTTTTGATCTTTTAACAAAAAAGCTACAAACCTGCCTTTTCCTGGCATTACCTAGAGCCACTTGCCTGAACCACCCCATTTTCCCAGCTTCTGATTGCACATCTACTAGGGTAGCCAGGCCTAGTCCACTCAGTCTCATGAGGAAAAAACAATACAATGTCTTAGGATCTGCTTTACTTGGATTTCTGCCTAACATGGTATTATGATATAAAGGAAAACTGAAGTATGTTTTTCCCTTCTCTTACTCAACAATACAGAATACATTGCTGATCTCTGGTGACCAAACATAAGGATTTCTCCCTACCAGCAATCAATTAATTTGACAGCAAATTCTCCAACACACACCAGCTAGATATCCTCCAATTGATTTCTGATACTATTTACCTTGGGCCCCACCCACTTCCCAATGGGGAACCTGAGGTGCACCCATCCTTCAGCATGCACAATGTCCTAAGGGGTGAGGTTCAATTTTCACCCAGACTCCTGGCGGTTCCTCAGGGGTCCCAACAGCAAGAGACTCTCTAAGCAGAGTTTAAGAAAATGAGCAAATTAAGGGTCCACAGAGGAGAAAACAATGTGATGATGTTACAGAGCTGATTACAGAGAGGGAGGAACCATGTGTTACTGAGGGCTAGTTGGAAGTCCTCCCTCTGTACAGCAGTCTCTTGCATGGTGAATCGCTTAGTTCACACCAGGATGCAGCAGTAGTAGTTTCCCTCTCCATTGGAGCCCAAGGAGGTACTAGTGTGACCAGGGTCTGGGCAGCAAAATGGTTATGGAGTGGGTGAAGATGGGACTTCCATGTCCACCCAATAAACAAAACACATAGATCGAAGTAGAGTTAAGTGCTGTAAAAGAATAGCCAGTTGGAAGTGTCAAGAACCCAGGTGATGTACAGGCCTAGGGCACCAGGAGCACAGTCACCAGCCTGTGAAGGAAGTAGCTAGAGCAGCACCTATGGATCTCAAAAGAGACTTGTAGGAAGAAGATGGTATGGTGTTACATGCCTAGAGCTCCAGGAGGCTGAGGCAGGAGGATCATAAATTTGAACTCAGCCTGGGTAATTTAGCAACTTAAGGAGACTCTGTCTCAAAGTACAAAAAGGTAGGAATGTAGCTCGGTATGAAGGCTCTGAGTTCAATCCATAGTACAGGGGATTTCAAGAAAGGCAGGGGCCTTTGCAGACCAACTGGAAAACAAGCAGTCTTAAGAAACATATCCTGGCCTTCTCAGCTCACTGGGGTAGCCATAGTTTGCAGCCTGTTTGTCGGTGCCCTGTGTATTTATACCATGTTTTGTATAAGCCTTCCAGTATCCACTGCCAAGTCCTAAATCTGGGAACCTCTATCTCCATCTCACTGCTCAATCCTCCCATACACCAGCTCTTTGCACTAGAAGAGTATTCTCCCATACACCTACAAAATCTGTTCTCACATCTGCCTGATTTTTGTTGTTGCTGTTATTGTGGTTTTTGTTTGTTTGCTTTTGTACTGGTGATTAAACCCAGAGCCTTCACACTGAGCTACATCCCCAGACCCCTACCTTTTATTTTGAGACAGGGTCTCACAAGGTTGGCCAGGCTGGGCTCCAACTTTTGATCCTCCTGCCTCAGCCTCCCAGAATGTCACAGTTACAGGCAGAGCCACCACACCCAGCTTGCCTGTGTCAACTCCAAACTTCCTAATTAATTTTATCCTCCTTTCCTTCCCATAGGACATAGACTGCAAAAGACAACAACAAACAAATATTAAAAACCCAAAATGACCCTCATCTGTTTCTTCTTTTGTTCACAGTTGTATTTTAAAGACCTAAAACAGCCTAGTACTGCTAAGCATTGTTCATCTGGATACCTTACCCATTTACTCTTTCTACTCCACACTCCACCATGTAATGTGGGTATTAATATTATTCCCAATATCATTTACAGATGAAAAACTAGGGCTAGCACATGTCACATACACGAAAGTAAATATATTAATCACTCCCTTTATTTTGCATAAATCTTAGTGGTCATTATCCTGATCTGCACCCTTCTTTAAGAAAAAAAATTTTGGGGGGTCAGGCATGGTGGCACGTCTATAATCCCAGCACTCCAGAGGCTGATGCATGAGGATCACAGGGAGTTTGAGGACAACCTGGGCTAATAGTGAGTTCAAAGCTAGCCTGAATTATAAAGCGAGACCCTTTCTCAAAACATAGAAAAGATTGGGAATGTAACTCAGTATAAAGACTCTGGGTTCAATCAGAGAACAGCAATAAAGAAATGAGAGGGGATCGGATGTTGTGGCTCAAATCTATAATACCAGCTACTTGAGAGGCTGAGGCATGTCCATCCCAAGTTTGAGGCTGGCCTAAGTTACTGAGCAAAGACCCTGTCTCAAAATTTAAAAATGGCTGGGGGTTGTAACCAAATCTGCACGACTTTTATGAGGTCCTCAGTCCAATTCCAATTGGGGAGCGGGGCACCTGCTGCCAGCACAATCTCACAAATTATATATTTTTGGGGGCCGCATTACATGTTTCAGCTAGCTTGGTTAGGCAGAAAGCCCACAGGCAGCCAGGCATCTGTGTTCCACTACTTACTTGTCCAGCCTCCTTTGCAGCGCAGGGACTCCAGCCCCGCAGGCTTCTCTGTGGGGTGGCCAGGCACATAACAGGACTTTTGACCAGTACCAAGCAGCATAAATTGCTTTCTCTCCAGGCCTTTTAAATTCTGAAACATCTATCCACGCTCTGGCCTAAACAGGAGCAGGTAGGCCGTCTAGCAACGCACAGCAAAATTTGGAGGATATCCAGTGTTTTCCTTCTCTACAACCTGCGGTCCTAAATCCTCCCATATCTAAACCCTTCCACACAGGGAATACCTATACCAACGCCATCAGAGCTACTAAGAGCCGCCTCTGTGCATAGAAATCTGTTGAGTTTGATAATTCACCTGAGCACGTTTTTAAAATTTATTAAAAATAGCTTAAAAGCACATTTTTCAAACTGCCTAACACCGGTAGACAGGTGACTGCAACGCAAAAACTCGTCCACGTTGCGTTCCTAAAAATCAAAGGGAAGGGCGACTACACGTTAAGCCACGTAGTGGCGCAAAAGCCGCAAAGCGATCCTTATGGGTATGTGCCGTACAATTCCCGGCTTTCCCGTTAAGCCATGTAGGGGCGCAAAAGCCGCAAAGCGATACTCATGTGTATGTACCGTACAGTACCCCTCTTTCGCTTTTCCATCGCTCTCCTGAAGAAACTTTTAAACACTCTATAGGGATATTTTCAGAATGAATTTTTACAGCTCTGAAAAACAGTTTTGTGTGACGGAAGAGACCTTATTTTACGATTTCACGTTGCCTTTTTTGTTTTATATATTCCCGCCATCTTGATGAACGGCGAATCATGGGGGCCGCCATTTTGCTCGTGGAGGCGGGTATTTCCGGTTCCGGTATGGTCTATTCTTTCTTTCTCTAGGCAGCGCGGCCGGTGGATCGGTCTCGCTTTTTGTCTTTGTGAACCATCTATTGCCATCTTCGTGGGTGCAGCGATACCCGCACTTGCCATCACCATGACTGAGCAGATGACCCTTCGTGGTACCCTCAAGGGTCACAACGGCTGGGTAACCCAGATCGCTACCACCCCACAGTTCCCGGACATGATACTGTCAGCCTCTCGAGGTACGGGCTAAACGTGCGGGAGAGACGGCTCGGTGGGTGGGGGTTGCATGTAACTCGTGGTAGCGCCGGTGGCTTACGAGTAGCAGGCCCAGTAGACTACCCTGGGTATGAGTTTGGCGCGCGGGCACGAACCTAGATCTCAACCGGGCGAACCATTTTGTAGATAAACTCACTGAGACAACTCCTGCCTGCCATCAAGGTTGGGTACTTTTTAAATATCTTGCCTAACCCTCTGCAAGTGTGGTTAAGTGTGTCCAGAGGCCTACAGGACGGGCGGAGCAGTGATGACACCCAACATGCCATCTGAGTCCTTGTGCTGAAATCCAGAGGCTGTTTCTGAGCTGCCGCCCGGCTCTCGGCTCGGGAAAGTGGATGAATTCCTGAAGCCTATTGAGGCTTCTTTATGTCTTCTGTTTGCCCTCATTTAGGTTAAGAGGCTTCCAGATGCTCGTTTCATACCCAAGTTTCTTGGTTCACCATTAGATTTAAGAGAAGGTACAGAGAAACGTTGAGTTAGCCGGGCGTGGTGGCGCACGCCTGTAATCCCAGCACTCGGGAGGGTGAGGCAGGAGGATCCTTGAGAGTTCGAGACCAGCCTGGGCTATGAAGTGAGCTCAAGACCAGCCTGAACTACATAGGGAGACCCTGTCTCAAAAAGACCAAAAAAAAAAAAAAAAGTTTAATTAATGTGACTCAGGAATATCCATAATCTCTGATTTGAAGTCTAGTGGAGCTGGGTGTGGTAATGTAGGCCTGTAACCCCAACACGTGGGAGGATCACAGCGAGCTCAAGGCCGGCCTGGACTACAAAGTCTAATGGTACCCTTAAGATATACTTACTTCTGTTCTGAAATAGTTACCCCTACATAATAACTGCTCACATAGCCTAGAGTTACCTCCTGATTTAAGTGATCTTAATTTTCATTTTGTTAACCCATTTGTGACCTTGAGACTAGATGTAGGATTCCTTACCAGTTTTCCTTGTTTCATTTTACCTCCAACTTTTAGACAAGACTATCATCATGTGGAAGCTGACCAGGGATGAAACCAATTATGGTATCCCTCAGCGCGCTCTGAGGGGTCACTCCCACTTCGTTAGTGATGTCGTCATCTCCTCAGATGGCCAGTTTGCCCTCTCTGGTTCCTGGGATGGGACCCTGCGCCTCTGGGATCTTACAACGCAAGTAGCTGCTCTGGGGCCTTGGGGAAGAATACTGGGCAGGGAGGGTAGATGCCCTTGGGAGGTTGGTGTCCTATGGGAAATCTGGTCCATCTAGGAAAGGATACAGCTGAGTATACTTACAAAAGACAATTGGCAGTTGTTTAGCCTTTTTTCCTTTTTTTTTTTTTTTTTTTTTTTTTTTTTTTTTGAGGTAGGCACTCTTGAGTTGCTGAGGATTTGTCTACATGAACATTTTTTTTGCCAGCCCTGACAGGACTTGGAAATAGTTTGAACATTTTTTATCTTAAAAACTTACCTGGGTGGTTGAATATTTGGCAGGTGTAATAGAGGATCCTGGTGATGACAGATGATGACATTGTCAGCCAATCCCCACAGGGGAATGAGGACATGTCCTGCAATTCTGAGTGGATTCTCTGGTATATACTCAAAGGCTTGCTGTGATCCAAGTTGCATCCATGGCTGTATGAGTAAAGTGGGCTCCTTGGTTGGGGACAGGCCAGGGTAAAGATCTGACTGGCAGGAGAAAGTTTATAAAGTCCGTCTAGAGAGTAACCAAGTTCTTTTTGCTCAGGGGCACCACCACAAGACGATTTGTAGGCCATACCAAGGATGTGCTGAGTGTGGCCTTCTCCTCTGACAACCGACAGATTGTGTCTGGATCCCGAGACAAAACTATAAAGTTATGGAATACTCTGGGTGTATGCAAATACACTGTCCAGGTAAAGTGAAGGCAGTGGCAGAGAGCACATGTTCACTGTTCTCACCCACCCTTTTAACCTTTGCTTTGCGTGGTTGTTTTAAATGCTGCTTGGAATCTAATTTGGGTTTTTAAAGTTTGGGTTCTGAGAATATGAATGCAGTGTTATTCATCCATCCATCCTGGGAGTAGGGGTAGGGGTAGGGAATCTAGCATCGTGGGATAGGACTGTTTTCTTTTCATTCTCTAGGATGAGAGTCACTCGGAGTGGGTATCTTGTGTCCGTTTCTCACCCAATAGCAGCAACCCTATCATCGTCTCCTGTGGCTGGGACAAGCTGGTCAAGGTGAGCTTCAAGCCAGGGTACGGTGCCTGTACCAGCTACAAAGTGGTACCATTGCCTCCTGGGTAGGCCTACACTTCAACTTTTGTAGGTTATCTCAGTTTATTTTTCCACCTCCTGGTATTTTTTCAATACATGTCATTAGGGGGGTATTTTTTGGTTTTTTGAGACAGTATTTCACTATAGTTCAGACTTCCTTGAACTCATTGTATAGCCTAGGCTATCCTTAAACTTGAGTGATCCTCCTGCTTCAGGCTCCCAAGTGCTGAGATTACAAGTGTGTAGCACCACACCTGGCAGGTCATTATTAATTTTTGATGTTTGGTCTGAAGTAGCTAATCGGCGCTTCTCATAAATCATCTCACAATTCTTGTTAACCTGTTTTAATCTTGGTTGATACTGAATGATCAAGATAATTTCTGTAAACTTCTGTTTATTTTTGATAGAATCATAGTTGGCTATCATAATCAGGAGTGCTTTAAATAAGGCATGCCCTTTTTGTTGAACTTGGACCCTCCTCACCCTGGCCAATACAGGGCTAGATTGTTTTAATTTTTCAATGCCTGTCTTTGTAGGTATGGAATTTGGCAAACTGTAAGCTGAAAACCAACCACATTGGCCATACTGGCTATCTGAACACTGTGACAGTTTCTCCAGACGGATCCTTGTGTGCTTCTGGAGGCAAGGTATTTGGGGGCTAGCAATCCTCTGGCTCAATGGAATAGTATTATAGAATACTATAGGTTGTGTCTTTGACATAAAGTGACACATTAAAATTAGCCAAGGTGTCCAAAAGTATGTTCTTGATGCAGTTTTCTATGTAGTTTCCTTGAAGCAAATAGGTAAGCCTATGTTTTCACAATTTAGAGTGAGTTATTGTAAGTTGTTAAGAAGTTCTTGATACAGGTAGTGAGGTATAATGCATTGAAGAAATAAATTAGAGAATTACTGGTGCTTTGAGTCATTTAGCTTTTAGGAAGCCAGAGTACTGTGGGAAAAACAAGAATTTTCATATACTTTCCAGATGCGTGGGACTCATATTTGGAAGAAGTTATATGCACTACTAACTCATCTTTTCCTCTCTACCCAGGATGGCCAGGCCATGCTGTGGGATCTCAATGAAGGCAAGCATCTTTATACATTAGATGGAGGGGACATCATCAATGCTTTGTGCTTCAGCCCTAATCGCTATTGGCTCTGTGCTGCCACCGGCCCCAGCATCAAGATCTGGGTGAGTGAGCTATATTATAGATTCAATACCTGGCTGTGTTGTAACCACCACCACCAGGGCTTCAGCAATATTGTGATGACTGTACGTGCCATTGGACCTAGAATCAAGCTTTCTGACCTTTATATTCTTAATGGAGGCCCAAGAAGGTTGAAATTTCCTAGTATTAGAAATTTTTTTTTTTTTTTTTTTTGGTTTTTTTCTCCGGTACCAGGAACCGAACTCACGACCTTGCGCTTGCCAGGCAGGCGCTTTTGCCACTGAGCTAAATCCCCAGCCCAGTATTAGAAATTTTGCAGCAGTTGGAGATACTCCCTGTTAAAATGGATGGCCACATTTAGTGTAATCGTTGCTCAACCTAGGTATAACTGCCGTGTTGGTCTAGATAATTTTTTGTCATGGGTGCCTCTCATGTGCATTTTAGCATATTTAACAATTTTTCTGCCAGCTACCAGCTAGATACTGCTAGGCATTGCCATGTACTCCCAAAAATGTCAGTATTGTGAGGGTTAAGGCTGTTGTTATTCTGGTTTTCACCTGTTTACAGGACTTGGAGGGCAAGATCATCGTAGATGAACTGAAACAAGAAGTTATCAGTACCAGCAGCAAGGCAGAGCCCCCCCAGTGCACCTCTCTAGCCTGGTCTGCTGATGGCCAGGTAAGTAAATCTGTCCTCAGTTAACTACTTGTGATTTGTCTCCCCTTTTTTTCTGCTGCTGTCTAATCAAGCGTAAGACTAGTGTCTTAAACATGAAAATGACAGGAAGTTAGCCAGGTTGACCAGCAGTGCCAGTGAATGCCAAGTGTGTCTTTTGCATTAGAAGACTGATCTAGAGGGTAGTGGTAGTGGATACTTTCATCTGAGTCCTTATCACCAGTTTGTTGTTCTGCCAGGAGAATGTAGTCAGCTTCTGCAATCTGGTGGTGAAGGGAGGGGGCTTTTCAAAAGGAAAGGCCATCTTGGGACTGTAGAATCCATTGGCTGAGCCTGATCTATCATTGTTGTTTCTCCTTTACAGACTCTGTTTGCTGGCTACACTGATAACCTGGTGCGAGTGTGGCAGGTGACCATTGGCACCCGCTAGAAACGTGTCAGCTTTAAAAAATAAAAAACTGGCTTCCTAAAACTGGCTTTAGTTCTGACTTCTAGACAGTTTTTTTTCACCAGCAGCGGTGATACATGCTTGTAATCCCAACTACTTGGGAAGCCGAGGCACGAAGATCATTTGAGCCCAGTCAGGGACAGATACCAAGACCCTGCTTCAAAAAACAATAAAACACTTTTTTCTGCTAAGGAAAAAAGCATCTTACGTATGCTGTTTACAGCATGAGACAATTCAGTTGGCGCTGGCAAACAAAAGCATGTTCACTAGAGGCTTTGGGGGGAAAGGGGAAATGTCAGTCTGGTTCCTGTAGGGTTGAACTGGCATCAGAAGTGACATTTATGGCAAGTAACAAAGGTTAGTTTCCCATACATTCCCCTTACCGCAATACCTATATTATAGTGTGACCTACTATAAGCTTAGGGAAACTTTGTTGAGTGTAAGGGACCATCTCAAGGTTGTCACATTCAATTTAGGACATATCTCAGGTCCAGCTCTTCAACACAGCGGATTAAACAGGTTGAAGTACTCCTTCAAAGGTACACATTCAGGAACCCTGAGGTTTCAGGTTACCACAATCTTCATGAGTTTGGTGTGAAGACAGTTCTTGGGTTTTGGGTTTTTTGTTAGACAAAGCAAATGTCTTGTCACCACAAGAGTTGGTTTTTATTTAGTCACGAAACTCGTAAATACTACATTGGCTTCACTCATCCCCAACCCAGATTATGACAGATGATCTGCTGAGAAAGTAATATACAACTATCATTACTTTTAGCAGTCTTGATACAGGCATATAGCAGTAACACTAAATTAAAACCTCATAGCCCTTGTAGTATCTTTTGTGGGTTTTTGGTTAAGTGGTTGTGTTTTTAATGGCCATTCCAGTTCCCTTGCTTGCTGCTGACCAAACAAAAAGCCCACATACTTTGAGGAAAAGTTTTTGTTCAGTTAGCTCTGGAGATGTAGGTTCTCATTTGCCTGCAAGTCCCATCTCACTGTATAAAGGTGGGCAAGGATCTTTTAATAGTAAGGAACGGGAGGGGGAGCACAGCTTTTTGAAGTGGTCAAACAGCTGCAGCATATAAAGGCCCATATGCACCCCCTATTTCTTACCTCTCTGTTAATGGTAAAGAGACCTGCACCTTTTTGATTCAACTGGGTGTGGTCACACTCTGGAAATGTGTGCTAAGGTCCTGGTTTTGTCTTTGTAGAGGACTGTGAGGAAACTTCAGTCATACCTAGAGTCTCAAAAGCAAAGGTAGAAAGCATTAAATCTGACGGGGTTGGGGGCAGTTAAAGTCCAGTCCTTGAGAAAGGATTTTTCCCGGCTTGAACACCCTCCACATGACAGTTGAACATTAACTACTTAAGTGAGATCTCAGATTCTGTTGGAAAGAAATGGCCTCCACAAAAGTAGCAAATAAACATTTTATTTTTGCAACACAATTAACCTTCCCTTTTTCCCCAATAACATAGAAATTGACCTCAGCCATGAAAAACTGATTAAGTGATAGGAGGTAAGGAGTTACTAGAAAAATATACTCTGCCCAAGTTTCTCCTCCCAGGCACCCAAACACATCCCTGGCCATGCCCTCAGGGCTCACCAAACAGAAGTGAAAGTTGGGGAGAGGCTGGAAACAAAAAGCAACTCCAGTGGAAAGACTGGAAGAGGGACCCTGGCAATGAAAAGTTCTGGCAGGGGTAAGGTAGGGAGAGTTTTGTTCTTTAGATTGAATGCTGGGAAGATAATTTAAGGGTGGATATAATGGTATTTACTGTAGTTTAAAACATGTTGAATATCCCAGATCTCAGGCTAAATCCTGGCCAGTCTAAGGAGGTAGAAATTGGGGATGGAAGGAAAGTTCAGAATCCCTACTTCCCCAGGAAAGCAAACATTTTCTTACTTAGCTTGACCCTTCTGCCCACCATGCCTCCCCCAAAACAGTTTCCAAATCCCCTATCTAAACTTTGTACCAGAAAACAGTAGGGATGAGGATATTCTCAAGTCTTGCCCAAGCCCTCCAGCCTTAGAACTGACATAATTGCTGAAGAGTAGGGATAAGGGGAAGAAGAAATAAAATTACAATCTTCCCTACTCAGAATGTCAAGGGCTGGACTAGGCTGGGCAGACAGGGAGGGAAGACCAAGCAGCTGTTCTCATTATCAAGACCCATGCAGACCTGTTGGACAGATACAGTAGGTGAGAAGGCAGAGCTGGAGGCCAGGAGGGTTCTTAGGTTCCCAGAGGGGAAAAAGCAGGGACCTGGGATGAAGGGAAAGCAGGAAACAATGCAATAATGGGCCACCATCCACTACCACCCGCCCCACTAGTGCTGACCAGAGGGGCCCCTGCGGGTGGCAGGCTAATCAAGGGCAGAGCTTGATGCGGGTTCCCTTTGAGAGCACCCGGAAAAAGGGGAAGACACGCTCGCCCAGGAAGGCAGCTGAGAAGGTGTGCACATGGGCTAAAGTCTCCGCGTTGTAGAAGCCCAGGCGCCCTGCCTCATAGTCCAGGTACACTCCAAAGCGCCGAGGTTTCTCACTTGGGCTCAGCAGTGTCTGCTCCGTCGAGCTCTGTGCCTGGTAGCGTTTGCCATTGGTGCCCACACACCACACTTCCCGCTGCAGTAGGGGCTGCTGGGGTAGGTGGAGACGGCGACGGCGATGGTGGTGGCGCGAGGAACTGGCATCCCCGCTGCCCACAGAGGAACCCCCAGAGCCCACCTTTTCTCTATGGTGGGTTGACTCACGGGCAGCACCCACCGCCCAGCCCCGCCGCCCGCCCACCTCTACCTCCCAGTAGTGCCGGCCAGAGCGGAAGCCCTGGGCCCCCAGTACGCAGCAGTCAGCCGAGAAGCGCTTGGGATGGTCAGCAACCTCTTGCCGCCGTTCTGCCAAGCGGACACCCCGGCGGTCCGGGGACAGCATCAAGGCAGGGTGAGCCGTGTCGGGGTCCAGCGTCAGGTCCACTTGGGAGGAGGGAGGACAAATACGCCAGGGCTGGAACGACTGTTCCCTGTCAGCAGCTGACTCCACAGGTTGGGTCTTTCCTGCTGTTCTCTTTTCCCTCCCATCCTGTCTGTCTACCCCCTCCAGCTTTCCTTAGCTACCCACACCATCACAGCCAGACTCAGTTTCTTTTAGGCTCCACCCCTTTCCCCATTCTTGTTCCCAGGATACCTGACAGGCCTCTCCTTCCCCTGGCTCTTGCCACCTCACCCCAAACCTACCTGGGCTAGGACAGAAGCTACTCTTTGGCTTGAAACCCCAGAGTGGTCTACTTATAACCTGCTGCCTGTCAGCCCCCCACACTTCCACAGAGCCCATCTTCCTCAGAACCCAATCTCAGGTCTGAAAGGAAAGGCAAAGGAAGGTCGTACAGGTGACCTCCCTACCTCTCGCAGCCTGACAGAACATCCGGCTCATTTTCCTCACGATGGCATCTGTCAGGAAGTCATGGCTATGGGGTTGGCACAGGTCAGGGGACCAGACCTCTGGGGGCTGCAGCTGTACCTCTTCACACCTGGAGGAAGGGGACCGGGTAGGGGGTGGGACCATGGTAATCCCAGAGGGAAGAGCAGAAGCAGAGGGAAAGGACAAGAGGGTCCAGGAAGCAGAATTTCAGGTCCTAGGGAAGGAAGGAGAGGAGAGGGATACCCAAGAAAGGCAGGGATGGGGAACCAGATACTGCTGGGTCACAAAGGGTAATGTGGGAACACACCTATTGAAAGTCTCCTTGATGTCCTGGGAATAATAAAAAGGAGAAGGAAAAAGAGATAAAGAGAGTGTCAGCTATATAGGAACAACTGTTTTCTCCCAATCTCCAGCCAGAGAAAGGTCTGAACTTGACCAAGAAGGGAGAGGCAGAGCTCTCAATAAACTTGTATCCCGTTCAATCTCAACCACCCCAATGCCTCACTATAACTAACTTATCCTGCTCTGAGCTCTGTAAAAAGAATTTTCACAATGTGTCTTGGTCACCTTTTTCAGGATGTCCCTGTCAAAAATTATTTTCTTAGCTCATTTAAACCCTTCCCAAACTTAATCTCCCTTCTTTTCATTGTGTGTAACTGTTATACCACATTCAACACTGTCTCTAGCTTGAAGAAAACATTTTTGGTTAAATCACTGGCTCTTTCCCAGTGAGAAAAGAGGCAGTTCTGGGGAGTATACTGGGGAGTATAGTGACCACTGCCTGACAAGGGCAAACAGCTAGGGGAGTGGAGGATGGCACAGAGAGGAGGACTGCTCACCTGGAGTAGCCGCAGGCCCCCCTGCTGGCTCCTCTCCTGGGCCTCAGCCAACAGGCGGCTCAACTGGGCAGCCTGCTCTGTGAGTCGGCCTGCTACTGCTCCAGCATGCCCCAACTGAGCTTCATGCATCTCTCGGAGGCGGCGCTCCAGCCCTGCCTGCTCTTCGGCCAGAAACCGTGTTAGCCGCCCAAACTCTGAGGCCACAGCTGCCAGCTCTGACTTCATCTGGCTCTGGAATGATGCAAAGGGTATGTAGATAGCACCTAAACACATGAGAAGGTACATCTCCAGTTTTCTAACTGCTGCCTCCATCCAAGCCAAAGGAGCCCCATTTCCTGAGTCTAAGAAAGATCTTCCTCCCCTCTAGGCTTTCCACATATCACACCCACATTTCTGGCACACTGGCCCTTAACTTACCAACTTGGTACTCTTGTGTCTACCTGACTTGCCTCACTCTTTGGGTTTAAGTTTACGTGTTCCAAAAGAAACTTTTTCCCTCCAGTTCTAAATCAGCACTACCTCCATAAATACACTTTTTCCTTCATGGCATATACAATACTGGAAATGCTGTAAGTATGTTGACAATGAAGTGTTTTTTAAAACTTTCCCTTACTGTAACTTCAGGACTTTGGTAGAGTGCCAACTGCCAGAAAAGCAGATACTTTTTTTTTTTTCCTAACTCATTTAAACCCTCCCAAACTTAGTCTCCCTTCTTTTCACTGTGTGTAACTGTTACACCACATTCAATATTGTCTCCAGTGTTAAGAACACATTTTTGGTTAAATCACTGGCTTTTTCCCAGTGAGAAAAGAGGCAGTTCTGAGGACTATAGTGAACACTACCTGACAAGGGCAGACTACAGAGTCTCATTATGTAGTGTAGGCTGGTCTTGGAACTTGCTTATATAGGCCAGGCTGGCCTCAAACTCATGGCGATCCTCCTGCACGTTGGGATTACAGGCGTGCACCACCACACCCAACTACAAAGACTTTTTAAATAGGTAAGAGAATTCAGATATTAAATGATGTTAAGAGTCCTCACTATGTAGCTAGTTACAGTGACTTTTCTGTTTTGTTTGTGTTTTTTGAGGCAGAATCTCACTATGCAGTCTAGGCTGGCCTTGCATTTACTATGCAGCCCAGGCTGGCCTCGAACTTGCAGTGATCCTTCTGCCTCAGCCTACTGAGTGCTGAAATTATAGGCTTGTGCTACTACACCCAGCTAGTTACCCTGACTTTAGGAAAGTCACTCAAACCCTCTGGATCAGGAATCAGAACTCATCTGTATGATCAGATAGTATTTTACATTTTGTGAGCCAAGAGGCAAAATCAAGGATATTATGTAAGTACAAGGTCGCTAGCTATTCAAGGGGATTTAGTTCCAGAAAAACAAAGTCTACAGATGCTCAAGTCCCCTATATAAAGCAGCGTAATTTGCATATAACCTACACACATCTTCCTATATATCTGAAACATATCTACATTACTTATTATACCAAAGACAATTGTAAATGCTATACAAATAGTTGTTCTACTGTATTGTTTGGGGAATAATGACAAGGAAAAAAGGTCTGTACATGTTCAGTACCGATGCACTTATTTTTTCTAAATACTTCCAATCCAAAGTTGGATGTGGAACCCATGGATACAAAGGACCAACCTCTATTATGTAAAGAAAACACCTGGCTAGTCCAACCCAATTTGCCTGGACCAACCTCGGAAGTGGGAACATTTCTCCCATTACTGTCAGCTGGAGACATTCTCCAGACAAAGAGTTCCCAGAGAAGGCAGGAAATCCTGGTAGGTCAACTGGATGAGGGAACCTGCTGTCATGTCAGCTTCATTCTCTTGACTTAATGATATTCAGATCCTGGCACATCTCTGCATCCCAGAGAACCCAGAAGTATCAGTTTGGGCCTTTGGTCAGAGGCAGGATCACTCCCCAACTCCCAGACTCAGATTCTACCTTTCAGCGCTATGTATTTGCCACCAGCAGAGTTCCTAATGGCAGTTGTAATGACAAGTGGCAATTCTAGATTTTGGCCACAGAGGCAGGTGCTGGGAGGAAGGGGAAGAAGGGACAGAAAGAAATGTTCTGGCTTGGTCTCTGAAGCTCACAGTGCCACTCCATTCCAGCAGGCTTGCTGGCTTTACCAAAACAGACAGAAGAGGGTGCTGGAATTAATGGGAAATTATTGTAAAAGACTCCATGGAAGGGGTGAGCAACAATGAAAAAGGGTTGAGAAACACTGAACTATAAATGAGTAGGTCCTGCAGTAACTCCTTCCCCTTCCCCTACACACCTTGTGCCTCTCTCCGGACATCAAAAGCCTCCTAGGACCACATCCCTCTCATGCTCACAGTTGCTCTGCCAACCACCTATATCTATCCTGTGACCTGGGGCTTCTCTGATGGTGGGTTTTAACCCCTTCTGTTCCACTGTTATGGGGCAGGTGTCTGGACAGAAAGCCTTGCTCTGCAGCCTTGAGCCAGGCAGCCAGCACTGTCAAGCCCGGCCTCTTTTCACTCCATTATAGAACCTAGGAAGTAACATGCTTCCTAAACCTTACAGGCTCGTCCCTGGAAAAGCATCTACCCTTCTCCCAGGCCTTGTCCCTTCCTGAGAATCTAGTCATCACTTATCAGTGATCAGCCCCATTTCCTTTGCCCTGACCACAGAATCAGTCAGCCTGTTGAAGGATATTCACCCACCTTTAGCTCTGTCACTCGCCTCTCCTCCTTGGCCTTCATCTTCTGCACAGCCTCCAGGTGTTTCCTAAGTGGTTCCACATGCCCCTGCAGTTTGGCCTGAAGGAATAGGAAAGAGAAGGTTAAAGGTACAGGCCAGAAGAGGCCCGTTCTTCAGAGCCTATCTCTGCAATTCTCCCTTCAGGAGGTTGGGTCTCAAAGCTGGATAACCCAGGATAAGTGTCAAGCCTTTCCTCACAACTCTTCTCTCAGAAAACAACAAAACTTCCAATCCTCCCCCTATTCTCACATATATAAGTCCTGTGTGCACTCTCTAAAGGTGAGATCCTGGAGCTCCACAATCAAGAACGTCGATTAAGCTTCTTATCACAGAGTCTTTGTAGATTTTCCTCTCTTAAATACTTCTCTGATGATCTTATGCCCATGCTAAGTATCTTTCAGTGATTCTTTATCGCTTCCAAATTATTGACTCTACATTTTTGGCCCTACCTCCTTACACCATCCCTTTTTAGCTTGTCACGAACATGACTTTTGTTTTGAGACAAGGTTTTGCCATTGTAGTTTAAGCTGTCCTTGAACTCACTAGTAGCTCTAGCTGGCCTCAAACTTGTGGCAATCCTCCTGCCTCAGCCTCCTAAGTGCTGGGGTTATAGGCAACCACCACCACATTCGGCAACAACCTGTTTTTTAAGTATAATTCCATCAAAGGCAGTCTTCCTTTAAAAGCCATCCCCATGACCGTAGGCCTGATTTTCCATGGCACTAATAATTTTAAAAAGTGTGTTTCTCCCAGGGCACTTCTGGATCCCTGCCTCCATTTAGTATTTCTATTTCTATCTGTCTGCTTTCTCTTCTGCTTAATTACTTGCTGAATGGAAAATAAAAACAAAAAACTCTTCCCTCACCATCTTTTTTTGGTACTGGTTAATTGATCCAGAGCTATATCCCCAGCCCTTTTATTTGAGACAGGCTCTCAGTCACTAAATTGCTCAGGGTAGGCTTAAGTTTGCAATCCTCCTGCCTCCAGTCTCTCAGAGTGCAGGATTTTAGGCATGTGCCACCATGCCTAGCTTCTTTCTAAATTTATAACGTTCACAGCAATTAGGCACATGAGCTTTGTGGTGTATGCCAACAATTTGTAGCTTAGTCTTTTTCTTTTAACAGCCTGTTAGAGCCGGGCATATCCATGCCTATAATTCCAGCACTTGGAAGGCTGAAGCAAGAGGATCACTGAGAGTTTGAGGCCAACCTGGGTTACACAGTGAGTTCAAGGCCAGCCGGAAGTACATAGTGATACCCTGTCTCAAAAAAATAAAAATAAAGACCTATTAGAGAAACTAAAATATATGAAATAAGCCCCACCTATTTATTTTTTTGTTTGTTTGTTTGCCACTTCTGCCTTTTTCCTCTTCTTTTCCTTCAGGAAAGTATCAGGGTAGAACGCAAGCCTAGACTCCAATCAGGTCAGGAATGCAGCTAGGTGATCTGAAGCAAGCCATGCTTCCAGTTTCTCAGCTTAAAATGGCAATAGAATATATCTCATGGACGGTATACTTAGCACAGTGTCTGGCAAAAAAAATCAGTAAATATTATCTAACATTTACTACCTAAGTAGGAAGCTGCCAGTGACATCCTGAACTAACCTTGAACTGAAGAAGTCACAGACCCAGATTACAAAAGGCTGTTGTTGCACAACTGGCTACAGAAAAAAATTACAATAGAATTATTGTATTACAATAATAATAAAACTATTGTATTACAATAATAACACAAAACTTTGCCTTTTGATACTGTTTCTTCACATAGTCAATAATTTATATTCCATTAATTCAGAATTTATAGTACTTAAACTTACCATTTAATATTCTTCCTAAATTCTTGACAAAAAAATTTATAAATACAAATCAATCTAAGAGTGCTATTTAAGAGAAATTTTCAAAGACACTTAAATTTTTAGGAGAATTATTTATGTACAGTTTATCCATTCAGTAAGAAAATATTTCTACAAAATAATACAGTGCCAAGCTAGTGCTAGTGTGCAAGAATAAATCACCCACCTATAAAATAGCCTATAAGTCAGAAAGGGAATCACTCAAATTATATCTACATAACAAAATGCACTACACATTTTCATTTGTTGATCAGTTGATGTCAGGTTAACTGTTAATCTGGCTTCAAACTGAAGAGCCCAAGAAAGGGATTATAACTTCTTTTAATTCCTGATCAATTTCAGGACTGAGTACAAAGTTTTCAGGCACCAGGCATTCAACAGATGTGGCTAATACAAATTAAAATCCAGTTTCAGAAGATCCTTGGAAGTACTATCCTACAGATGAAAAAGAAAATATGAAACACGCATGAATAGTCCACCCTGTATTCCAGTTACCAAGCAGACCATACATTGTAGGATGGGTTCAGCTAGTCAGGAGTTGAGGGAATATAAAAAGGACAAAAATTCCTGACCACCTCTTCTAAAAAAGTAGAGCTTATCAGGCAGGCAGTGTTAAATACAGCAATTCCCATTACTGAACCCAGGGCCTTCACACTGAGCTACATCCCCAGCTCTTTTTTTTTTTTTTAGGCAGGGTCTTATGGAGACTCCCTGTGCTGCCTATACCGGGCTCAAACTTGGCAAACCTCCTGCCTCAGCCTCCCAGAGTGCCGGGATTACAAGTGCACACCATCACACTCTGTTAGGCTGCACTTTCTAAACATATTTCTCTTCACTGATTCGGAATCTCTAGTGGTAGGAGCAACTGTACTTTGAAAATTTCCCCTACTAACTCTCACAGTCAACCAGGCTTGACAATCACTGTGTGCAGTGAGATGAAGTGATGATAGTTTATTCTACCACTCAGAGCTAAGAAACCCTACACACATTACTCTAAAATTTAATGATGCTGGTCGGGGTGGCAAATGCCTGCAATCCAGCACTTCAGGCTGAGATAGGAAGAGTTAAAGGCCAGCCAGAAATACTCCGCAAGACCCTATATATTAAAAAAAACAAAATGTGGTAATAATAATCCCGAAATTAAGTGAATGAAGGAATCAGAGTGTCCTTCAGAAGTGAAAACACCAGTCAAAATAAAGGCTCTGTGCAGACTAAACAGAGGCCACCTTATCTTCCTCCTGGTCCTACTGCTTCAAAGCCACTCAGGTCATTGGAAAGTAGTGCCATTTGTGCTCAGTGATTGATAAACAAATCTCCTTTACTTACCTCCAAGTAGTTATGATCAGAGGTAAGAAGCAAGACATTAACCAAACTAGAATTAGACTCCAAGAAGAAAGGTCACATGTCAGAAAACTTAAAGTAAAAGCAAACAAATGATAGTGTCATTATTAACAGTATATCCCAGGGGGAGGAACAGTCCATAACCAACTCCATCACTTACTAGCGTTGCACATGGCCCGGTGTACAGTATTTAAACCTCTCTGATCCTGTTCCCCAATATGTAAAGTGGGAACAGAAAATGTCAAACTCCCAGGATGGCTGACTCTTAAATGATAATCCAAGAAAAGTGTCCTCTGTATATGCTGTTTTTGTTTTTCTTCCGGTACCAGGAATCAAACTTATGACCTTGCGCTTGCCAGGCAGGCGCTGTACCGCTGAGCTAAATCCCCAGCCCCTGCCCCTCTGTGTTTATTAAGTATCCAGTAAACACTGTATTAATTCTCTATCCTGGGAAAATTAAAGTTCAAAGACACTCAAAAAAAAGTGACCAAGATTTGAGAGGAGGCAGAGCCACTGCCTTAAAAATCTCTCAAGAAGCTGGGCATGGTGGCAAATGTCTATAATCCCAGCGCTTGGCAGGTTGAGGCAAAAGAATCACCTCCAGTTTGAGGCCAGCCTAGGCTACATAGAGTTCAAGACCAGCCTGAACTACACAGTGAGACCCTGTCTCAAAAAATTAAAAAATAAACAATTAAAAAGCCTTTTTTCCTCTTTTCTGGTCAGTATATCTGACTGCTGCAGTGCCAAAGTCCTCAAGAGGGGAACAAGCCATATCATGGGGTGGGTGCTAGTGCAGGGCACTTGGGTCTAACTGCTTATTTCTATGTTCCTGTTTCAGAGCCCTTTCTTGCTGAGGCCCCCATTTCATCTTGAAGAACACCCATCAAAGACTTAAAAAGACTCACCCAGAAAAAAAAAATCAAACTGGCAGTAAAGCTTTAAGGACCTGTCACTTCCATCTCCCACTCTCAGCAACAGTGGAACTGCGAAACTGCAGTGACCCTTCCCAAAAAGACAAGCCCCGTGATCTGGCATTACCCTATTTGCTTGCTTCCTCAGTCTTCTTCACTGTGTCTGTGAACAGGTACTTCTTACTCCAACCCACCTTGGTGCCATTAAGTGCTTGGATAGCATCAGCTCACCGGTACACGAAGTTCTGTGAGGGGAACAGGTGTCTCCTTTTCCTAGTTCCCTTTACTTTCTCTCCACCCCTACTAAACTCTATTTGCTCTCTTCTCTCACCTTGTACTCCTGCACCACCTCTTCCAATGGCACCACACTGTGCTGTTTGTGGCTCCTGGATTCTCGGCACACCACACAAATGGCCTCTTCATCCACCTCGCAGAATAGCTTCAGGGCTTCCTGGTGTTTAGGACAGATACCCTGCTCGTTCACACGGCTCCCTCGACCAGGAATTGGGTGCATCTGCCGAATCACCTGGACCATGTTGGCCAGCTGCAGGTTGGGGCGGAAGCTCCGCCGAGGAAAGCTCTTTCGGCACTGGGGACAGGTGAAGCACCTCCGAGGGGCTGGAGGTGGGGACAGTGGGGTGACGGGATCTAGCTCCTCTTCCTCGTCCTCCTCCAGCACTTCTTCCTCATCCTCTTCATCCTCCCCCCTCAGGTCCTCCATGTCCCCCAAATAGTAGTCCAGTTCTTCCTCTTCGTCCTCCTCCTCCCACATATAGTCCATGTTGTCCCAGTTGGACCCAGCCATGCCACTGGTCCAGAACACACCCTCCTCTTCCTCCTCCACCTCCTCCTCCATGTCGCCCTCAAAATCTTCCTCTCTCATAGGAGTGTCCCAGCCCCCGCTGGCCCCCACTGCCTCCACTTCCTCCTCCTCTCCGTCCTCCTCTTCCTCCTCCTCCTCCCGCTCCAACTCATCCCGGTCCTCCTCATCTTCCCCGCCCCACAACTGGGTTACACACACTCGACAGAAGTTGTGCCCGCAGCCGATGGACACCGGGTCCGTGAAGTAATCGAGGCAGATGGCGCACACCGCCTCCTCCTGAAGGGTCTGCACAGGGTTGGGTGTCATGGCAACGGCAGCCATCTTAGTGTCCAGTCAGCCAGTGTAGATGTGCGGTGGGGGATGCGGGGCAACGGGGGTCTTCCCTCTCAGACGCCCTGGAGACCCGGCCCCACCCCCAGCCCTGCCTCCGTAACCCTGCCTCAAGCGCAGCCAGAAAACTATTGCAACAACCCCCTCTCCACAGAGTTCCCTGCTCCCAGACGACAACCGTGTCTCTTCGAAGGGAGGGGACAGAGCAGAGTTCCCCACGGACAAGTCCCTCAGGTGGCCCTGAGTGCAAATTTACCCCAACGCTCCCCCGGCCTCCTCATAAGCCCCCGCCCCTCCTCACTTCCTGGCCCCGCCCCCTTCCCTTCCGGCCTTCCTCCCAACACTTCCGGCGTCTGCGCACCACCCAAGCTCGCGAGTTCCCTCCTTGGTTCGGCTACGCCCTTCTTCCCCTCCCCGAGGCCCCACGGTGACAGGAAACAGCGAAGAGACGCTCTAGCCGACATTCGGGAACTGGTGGGAAGGCTAGGACGGTGGAGGCCCATGTCTCCGTGATGCGAAGTAGCGAGAAACGCGGACAGAATAGAAGCGCCCATCCCCATCCTCCGCCACTGTTCCAAAACTACAGGGGACAGCGGTTGCGTTTGGCAGCTGTCTACTGTCGGTATTATGACCCCAACGGCCAGGCGCCATTCTACCGACCGGGAATTTGACGACTGCCCCAGGGCCGGCCCACAGCTTTTCATACGGAAGTGAAGGGGCGGACACCAGAGAGTGTATTGAAGTACTTCCGGCCCTTCTAGGCGGAGGACTTCGTTGTTTGAGAATCAGATGGACCCTCCTGGACGGGTTAGGGGGCGGAGCCAGAGATGAGCCCTCCTCCCCAACTACTGTAGTTGGTACTTCCACACTCCTTTTAGAAACTTCCAGTTGGTCGCAGTATCGTTTTAACAAACCTCCCTGGTAAGGAAAGGGTGACAAATCAGTACACGCACATTCACACAATGGAACACTCTTTAGCTGTAAAAAAAAGGGAATCCTCTTCAGAATGTGTTAAATGAGCAAGTTGCTCAACAATGAAGTATAATACCATCTATTAAAAAGGAAATGTTAAATGTATTTGATATCTTTATATCCCTAACTAAACTTATCAGTTTCCATCTCACAAGATTTTGTGAGAGTGTCAAAGCAGTGAAAGAGTGGCTTAGCATATGGCAAGAGCGATATAAAAGTAACTTACACTTTGTTGTTATCGCTGTCTGGAAAAATACTCATACAATTTGGGAAGGTTGAGAATGCATTTTGAACCACGCTGATGTCTTTGTTTTAAAGAAAAAAAAAATATTTTTTCTTAGTGTCACCTATTCATTCAGGAAATACTTTTTGAGTTGTGCACTTATTCATGCTCCTGTTCTGGGGATCACAGTAAAGATGCTGCTATGTTCCCACAGAACGTCTCTGCCAGTAGATTCTTTGGGCAATAGAAATAATATTTGATGGTTTATTTAAATATCTCATTTAATTTTTAAATGGGGAAGGATTAAAGAATCATGATTTATGTAGGGAATTTCCAGCGCGAAGCCGGGACTACTGAGGTAGGAGTTGCCCAGTGGAAATCTTCTGGTGGACACTGCGCTTCCTAGGAGGTTGCTCGGAGCCTGAGGATGTCCGACTGCACGACCCGAAGCAGCAAGTCGCCGCCGGGGAAATCTACGAAGCAGTCCCGGGAGCTGCAGACGCTCCTGGCACGGAGAAGTCTTTCACAAGAGCTAGACACAGCTCCATGGCCCCTGCAGAAGCAGAAGGACGGGTCTGGAAGGACTTCAGGTTGCTTCAGGTCGGACAGTCTTTGAAATCTGCAAGTCTAGAGTGCAGGAGGCATTACGTGGGATTGTTTCCGTAGTGTAGTGGTTATCACGTTCGCCTCACACGCGAAAGGTCCCCGGTTCGAAACCGGGCGGAAACACAGTTTTGTCTTTCTTTTTTCCATCTAGCTTTCACCATCTCCCCTATCCCTCCCCCGTTTTGTGAAGACGGAGATGTCCCATAGAAGCATGGACATATATGTTTATCTGTCCCTCTGTTTGGGGGAGACTGGCTGTGAAGTGGGTCTGAAGCAGAGCAAAGTTCATGACTCCGAATGTAAACGTCAACTCTTACCTTACCTAATGTCTCGCTCTTCGGCTTGGAAGTTGATGTGACAACCTTTCTCAAGTGGAGGGATTGTAGGCTTTAGATCCTTCCCCTAGGATGCCTAGGATCAAGGCGGAGGCATTAAGCGTTGCTTAGGTACAGTGCAGTTACATTTCAAAGCGTGAGGTTCTTCTGCATGTCAATCTCGGTCTCCTGACATAGAACTTGTGATCTCTTTGATGTTTGCTGGGTAGCTCAGTGCAGCCTGAGACTCTCAACCTTACAGTACTGAGTTCAAGATCTAGAAACACTAACCTTTGGAAAGGACAATGATAGAAGCACCTTTGTTACAAAGACAACTCTCCTAACCAAGAGGTTGGTCAGGCTACTTTCTAGTAGCTGGGCATAAAAACCTTTAGTTTAACCCTGCAGCCCTAGGACTTTCTCTTGCCCTAGGGGAAAGAGTGAGAAATGAGTACCGGTTGACAAATTCCTAGAAGTCTGCAAGCCACCACCCACAGTCGATACATAGGTATTAGGTGCTTTCTGTTTACCAAACGTCTTGCCCAGATGTTGTGGACTAGGTGCATTGAAGGGAATGGTGATAACCCCTAGGCATTTGAGACCTTCAGTGCTTCCTCTGCAGCAGCCTGGCTTCAACTTTTGGTTAAAAAAAAAAAAAAAAAAAAGTGCTGTCTTCATTAACAATAACTTCAAATAAAATATCTAGGGATCAATCTAACCAATAGGTGAAAGCTCTCAACAGTTAAAATCTGAGAATACTGAAGAAAGGAATTGAAGACACCAGATGGAAGGACTTCCCATGTTCATGAATTGACAGAGTTAATACAGTAGACCCCTGAAAGGGTTACATTCCTACAGCACCTGCAAATTGTGAAAAACTGCAGATTTCAGATATGGTCAGAAAAATTTCGATAAATGCCTATTTGTATAGTTTAAACCCTAAATAATCTATGTGTCCTGCAGTTATGTAATTTAATTTAATAAAATAATATATTAAAGCCTTCCAAGGTGCAGAGCATCTTAGGGATCTTAGGACTTTAAAAAGAACAATACTGAGAGAGATAGCAAAAATGTTGGTGAATCTGCCAGAAACAAGTTACAGGACAGCAGCCAATTAGCAGCAAGGAGAACTGATTAACACTCTCAGGTTGGCTACTTGTAATTCTCTCTCCAAAGAAACAATTGTGGAGAACATTTGCAGTTTTAGCAAAATTGCAGAACTCTGAACTGCAACTTCATAGATGCATACTGTATTGCCAAAGTGGTTGTATTACCAAAAAGCAAATTACAGATTCAATGTCATCTCCATCAAAATACCAAGGACATTCTTTACAGAACTAGAATGTCCTAAAATTCACATGAAGCCAGACATGGTGGTGCACATATGTAATCAGCACTTGGGACCTGTGGCAGAAGGATCACCATAAGTTAGAGGCCAGGCTGGGCTACAAAGTGAGAGCCTGTCTCAAAAAGTCAAAAGTAAATAAATTAATTAAAAATTTTAAAACACTTGAAACTGCTAAAACAAAAACAGCAAACAAGTAAAAACATCATAGGGGAAACACTTGAGGCCATAGCACAAAGAGTTTCTGAGCAGGACTCCAATAATATAGGCGATAATAGCAAGAATCAACAAATGGGACTACATCAAATTAGAAAGTTTCTGCACAGCAAGGGAAACAACTAACAAAGTGAAGACCTAGCCCATAAAGTAAGAGAAAACTCTTTACCAACTACTCTTTTGATAGAGGATATCAAGAATGTATAAAGAATGCAGGCATGGTGACATATACCTGTAATCTCAGCACTCTGGAGGTTGAGGCAGGAGGACTGCCACAAGTTCAAGACCAGCCTGGGTTACATAGTGAGTTCACAGCCAGCCTAAACCTCATAGCAAGACACTGTCTCAAGAAACAAACAAATGAAAAAAGAATATATAAAGATCTCAAAAAACTTAACAAAAATGTCAAATAACCCAACCATTAAATAGGCAAATGATTTGGACACTTCTCAAAAGAAGTACAAATGACTAATAAGTATATGAAAGAATGTTCAACATCTTTAGCCATTAGGGAAATGCAAATCAGAACTACACTGAGGCTGGTGGAGGCTGAGGCAGGAGGACTAAAGCGAGTTCAAGTCCAGCCTAGGCTACATAATGAGTTCAATATAGAGAGCCCTGACTGTCCCTTGTCTCAGTCTGAGAAATTTATATTTGTAGTCTTATGGAAAAGTTATTGGAATTCTAATGAGTTGATTCCAATCTACCATGCTCAGTGCAACTCATGCTGTAAATAAAAACACAATTAAATATCCAAGATGGTGGGGAAACAAGCAGGTCCTAAATCCAGCTAGGATGATGGCTAACTGGAACAAAGGCCTTAACCCAGGGCCAAACCCAGGTTTTATTAATTTGTGAAGAAGGGAGTGGCTTGAGGATAAGTGACTGTGAGAATGGTGGGAAGTATCAATACATGGATAGGGCCAGGTTTAGCCAAAATGGGGATAACTGCTCTTCTTTCAGAGTTGTACATGTGAACCTCGACAAGTTAAAGGCCAGCCTCCCCTACAAAGTGAGACCCTGTCTTAAAAAAAAAAATCTCATCCCATTAAAAAAAAAAAACAACACATTAAGATTTCATCTCATCCCATTCAGAATAACTGTCATCAAGAATAGAAAATAAATACTGTCCAGGATTTGCAGGAGGGGAACCCATCTACACTATAGGTAGGAATGTAAATTAGGTACTACAAAATCAGTCTGGAAGTTCCTCAACATAGAACTATTATTTTATCAAGTAGCTAAACCACTCCCAGGTGGTTTATATACCTTAAGCAATTAAAATCAGCATATTAAGCCAGGTGTGGTGGTGCATGTTTGTAATCTCAGCTCTTGGGAGGCTAAGGCAGAAGGATTGCCTTGAGTTTGAGGCCAGCCTAGGCTACACAGTGAGTTCACAGCCAACCTGGACTATATAGTGAGACCTTGTCTCAAAATAAAAATAAAAGTAAAAAATAATGTCATCATATCATAGGGATACCTGCATACCTGTGTTTATTGTGGCACAATTCATAATAGCTGAGTTCTGGAACAAGCCTAGATTCCCATAAGGAATTACAAGATAAAGGAAACTATATATATATATATATAATAGAATATTATTCAACCATAAGGAACAATGAAATTCTGTCATT